AAAGAAAATATTTGGAATGTAAATGTGAAGTGTCACTGTTATTGGATTTCTAGTTTGATGACTCAGAACACTTTGGAAGTCAAAATGCCATTGTAATTTATTCTATATTGTTTTTATAATTCCTCAGTGTTGATACCTGATACTTCCAGGTGATGGGTGCTAATGAGCTAAATCTAAAGGTTTATAAATAATTATAAAACCTCACTGAGAACTATGAACAGGTCACAGTGGGTACTCTATGATTTTTCTGCCAGAATTATTTAGTGTAAAATTTTCTAGTAGTAAGGAGGTGGGAATTTTCTAGAAGAAAGATGAGTTCCTTGAGGAAGATTGGTTCTTCATTCTTTGTAGGTCTATGATTAGGATCAGAAGTTTCAATGACAAATTTTAGTTTTATTCTCAATTTCAGAAAGGTATTCTCAGTTCAATGGCCTGGAGATTACAAGATGAGAATTGGAAATCAATGGAGCAACTACAAAACCCCTCAAATACCTAACCATGCTTATATAAAGCTGCTTAGTTAGCCATACATAGTCTAGTGATTAGCTGTTTTGCTTTGTGAAATGAGATTCATTTAATTTCATATTTGGTGTGTGTCCATCAATGACGATTCCCAGATCCAATTTGCATAATGCAAAGTATAACAAGTTTTAAAAGTCAAATTCAATCCCAAAGCATTTTAAGAGTATAAGGCTGTGTATGACATGCTGCTGACAGCCTCCCCACCCCTAACCTCGTACCTTCCCTTGCCCTCACTACTCCCTACCAACCTCTACCTACAATGCTCAGTGAGACTTTCATCTTGACAGTCTCAATAGAGCATTAAGTATGAAAATAAGGCATATGAATAGTTATCTAAATTATATGAAAACTGTAATAAGAAGCTCAACCTGATCTAACAGGCAGAGTAAATAACATGGCATAACCTGAGAATTATATGTGGGACTTGAGAGGTTTGAATACAAGTCCATAATTATGTTCTACCTACCTTGTCCACAAGGCAGCTCAGCATTAATTAAAAGGGATGATTAGTAAGCAAATAAGATTCTAACTCATTAAGTGCAGCACTGCTTCCTTTTCTAAATAATCTACAGCCTTAGCCCCAGAAAAAGAGTCTTTGAAAAGGACCCAATGTCTGAGGTTGGCCTATCTTGTTGTTACTCTCTAAGACAGTTTTAAGTTACCTGAAATGCTGAAATCAGAGCTTTAGTAGCTTAGTATCTCTTTTTTTGGGGGGGTGTGTGTGGGGGGGTTTCCTCTTTTCTAACTTTCATGATGTGTCTGAATACACTGTCAGGTCCCCCAGAAGCCCAGAAGTGCCTTTTTGGGGGCAGGCAGTTTGGTAAGATGTGGCTTGGTGCTAAGAAGAAAAGGGAGTGAGACACCTTCATTCACTGTCAGCTTTGAATATCTCCTTGCTGCGTCACCATTCCTGTCTGCAATGTGTGAGAGAAGTTGGTTTCATTTCTATTTTACTAGGGCTTGTCAAATCTGGGAGTGGAGGATGGAATACCACAAAGTACAGGAAGGGCTCAGAAAATGGTTCTATTAACAACTTGGATGCAATTTTACAAACAACTTTTCCTGCTCACAGCTTTTGCGTCTTATTAAGCTTGTAAAATAATAGTGATTTTATACCTCTACCACAAAGTTTTCAGAATCCTTATAAAAAGCTAGAAACATAATGGTAATTAGCTTCCTTTCAAAATGCAACTATAGTGTGTACCAGGCACACAGGAGAGAGAAGAAAGAGTACTGATGGGGAGTCCTGGGAGACTGATTTTTGGGAACTATCTCTGTTAAATAATTGGATGACTCTTGGAAGATAATTCAACTTGACTGGGCTCCAGTTGCCTCATCTATAAAACAGGAAGAGAGGATGGGATTATTTAGTAATTTTTAAGCCTCGCTGAACAGAAGAATAACATGGCCAACTTGGAGGCCAGTTTCTATCCCAGACCAATGAAGGAGACTGACTCTCAGGGGGAGACTCTTGCTGTGGGCATTTGCAGCAGCCCCACAGGTTTTCCTGAGCCTCCAAGTTGAGAACCACTGCCCCTAATCCCTTCAGTGTCTTTGGTGCCCAGAGTTCTGTGACATCATTTGGTACTGCCTATGTGCTAACACGCATATATAATGTTCCTGAACAGATGTGGTTTTAATAATTTTAATAACAATTAAAATAATTTTAATAATGATTCTCTTTTTCTCTAACGGTATCTTCTACCAAACTCCAGAAAATTCTGCCTCACATTGTGACCAGACCACTTTGGCATTTTGGAGACCCAAGCACTTCATCTTGGTCTGTCTTAAAAGGAAAAGTTAATGTTATACCTCATTTTTTAAAAAAATCAATGGAGGTCAAAGTTAATCTGCCCTCCAGAGTTTTTGACCACTTTGCTAAAAATCATTTCAACTTTCAAATATTTTTGTCAGGAGCAGGGGGCCAAAGACATAGTGAGTTAGTTGACCTGTTTCACTTAAATCTTGGCCAATAATTAACCATGGCTTTTCATCTAAAGGCTGGTGCTCTTAACACAGCAGTTGCTGATGCTTCCTTTGTCCAAACTGCATCCTTGTTTGTTGGAGAGAACAAGAGATAAGATAGGTGCATAACGACCATCCTGCCTGGTAAAATGAGACCTATGACCTATGGACAGCTCAGCTCCTTGGCCTAGACAGGAGAATCAGAATACATGGAGGGCAGATATTCAAAGTGGACAAATGTTCATTGTGTCTGGTAAATAGCAGGGGCTCCCACATATTAAACATTTGATAATAATAAAAAGGAAAACTGGCCCTTGTTTGGCGGATTAGACTCAGGAAGAAAGGTTTTCCCTTGCAATGGCTGCTCTGAGACTGTCTAGGGCAGATGAGACTTAAATTCAGTGCAGTCACATTACTCAGAAGGGCAGTGAGTATGGTTTAATGCTCTGTACTTATTGTCTTGAAATTCTTAACAATTTTATCCTTGAATCTGTGTTCTGTAAGTGCAGTTTGATGGGGCAATGAACCATGTGCAGAGAGGGCTTGGAACTTGGGCTCACACATGGTCTACAGTCACATAGCCCACCTCCAGCTGCCTCCCTGGGATGGGATCTCAGCTACCTGCTTCTGTTTCAGGAATCCCTGGCAGCCTACTGCATGGCATAGTGACAAGGTGAGTTTCTATCACCACCTTCATTTCTGGCTGGAATCTGGGTGCAGACAAGAAAAGGGCCAGTGCTGGACACATGCCCTGTAGCATTCCAGAGCTGGGCAAGGAACTGGCTGTCCCTGACTTAGGCTGATGGTGCCATGGTGTCTTTTATACCAAGTCTGGTAGGAAGTCTCACTCACACCAAATACTGAGTGTGTTCTAGTGGGGAAATGGCAGTGTCTTGGGGGTTGCAATTCCACTGCAGATTGGGGCTGTCAGCCATGGGGAGGGGCATTGATTTCCCTGCCCCTGTTGAGGGCCTACATTTTCACTTTACACTGGGCTCCACAAGTCATGTAGTTGACCTTGCCTAACCTGTTTGCCAACAGACAGCTCTGGGTTCCATGGAGCTATGTGAGCCTGGGGAGGGCTGTTAAAGTCCCATGTCCACATGTGTCCACTCTCCTGGAACAGAGTGAAAGCTCTACCCATCTTTTTTTTTGTCTACTGCTAAATATCATAATATACATATATAATATATTAGCTGTGTGACATGAAGCAAATTAACTTTTCTGGGCTTCAGTATGTTATTCTGTCATATAAGAATAATACTACTACTGTTGTAAATATGAAGTGAGCCTGCCATACATAAGTACTTGGCACAGTGCTGGGCACAGAGGAGATGTTTACTAAATCTAAGTTGCTATGATTATTATGATTGTCATTATTATTTCCTATGAACCCTGGAAGCAGTTACGAAAGTATTTTGAATAATACTTCGAGGGACACACATTCTAACAAACTCATTTGGGGTTCCAGTCTCCAGGTTTCTTTCCAATATATTGCTCAAAAGTGAGTTTAATCTAATATGTAGTTCAGAATTAATTTTCTTAGGGGAAAACTGGGAGAATAGCTTAGTCAGCTATCTCGGTGAAGAAAATACTGCAGTGCAGAGGGAAGGCAGATGTGCTAAAGGGGAGGGGAGAAGAAAAAAAGACATGGCCTTACTGCATGCTTTTTAGATTGTAACTGGTGTGAAGCGACTTCTGTTGAATTTTGCAGAATGCTTCTCTAAGCAAAATTTTCTCTACAAACTTGGAAACCTCTGTGGCATGCCTGAGAACAGCCACCTCCAACTGCTCCAACCTCAGCTAACTCTCTTTTTTAATAGTTAGAGCCAAGCGTGTTGGAATATAGCATTTCTAGAATTTCCAAAACACATGGTATACTTTTCTCCTGGCAAAATGTGACAGCCAAGTAGGGAGAGGTCCATGATGAAAGATGAAATTTAGAAGTGATAATTCTTAGAAGTAAAATGTGTTTGTTTCCTAAAGCCTCCTTTCCAAAGAAAAATGCATTTCATATGGAGCTCTTCCATTGAGGATGTTATTGAACACAGCTGCTTGGAGAAAAAGCACTCAATTTGATAGAACAGAGAAGAAAATAGTCTGCATGATCATTTCTACTTTGAATTGAGAGAAATGCTAGTTACCATTAGGACAAAAAAGAGACCTAAAGGCAAAATATTTTTTACTAAAGGAGTTAGAAAAACTTGTCTTAACAGATGAGACCTAGAAAGTAACATAATAAAAAATAGGTAGAAAGGTACTTTTAATAAAAACAATAGTCAAGTATCTGATCTCATACTAATTCTTTCTGAAACCCTTGGAGGAAGGTTCATTTGCCTCATTTTATAGAGAAAGAGCAGAGCTGCCTGGGGACAAGGTACTTAGAGCAGGTTACCCAGCCAGGAAATGGCAGAGTTGGGATTAGGTCAAAAGACTAAATCTCTAGCACTTTACCACAGCGTTGCAGGACTTGAGTTAGAATTTGGAAAGTGACTGAATGCTTTTGTAATTACCATGGCTTTGTTGGAATGGCCACCTCCTTGGAATTCAATGGTCCCAAAAGCATCTGTTGGGCTGAGTTGCGTGTGCTTGCTGATGGACCACTTCTCGGACTGGATGTCATTTCGAGAGAGGCGACTCTCGTTTTTCTCATTTTGAAGGACGGAGATACTGGGAGTGAGGCCGACATGCTGGCCTATTAGACGCCCGCAGCAACACCTATAATGTAAGAGGTCAAAGTGAACCCACTGTATTAGCCACAGTTGGAATACACACTTAAGGCTGAAAAAATCTGCACATGGTAGCAATCTAGTTAGTCAGTTTTTAGGTGGAATCCCATGATGTGGTTGTATCAAGCAAAGGGTGAACTCAGGATTTACCTAACAGATATACTTTTCCTTTTGTGCCTCCTCCTCATTTTCCCTTAGCTGTATAAGCTGTTATGTGTCTCCTGTCCTCTACCCACTTTTTCACACCTGTCACATTGTTCAGGATTGGAATCTTGAACAAAAGCTCTGTAGAGTTTTCTTACTCTTTTTGTGTATCAAATATTACAGGAAGGGCACTGAACAGCTTCAAGGGAAGGAGTTTAACATGCACATTTAAATGAGGAATCTCGCTCATAAGTGAGTCACAACCTAACTTGTCTTTTCCAAATTGACATTCACTGTCAAATATCCAGTTTAGAGGAAAAAAAAATCTGCAGGTTAAGTGTTCTTGAAGAAACAATGAAAAAAATTATTCACAAGATACTTGAAAACAAAATTCGCACCTTCCCCCATGAAAATGTCTTTCAGACTTTACTACCACTGTTGTTATGATTACTACTACTAATATTGCTACCTAGTTACCATTTATTAAATGCTAACAATATGGTGTTCATTTTATGTGTAAAATATTGTAGTTTTAAAGGTTAGGTAAATTTGCTCAAGGTTACACCTTGACTCTATAGTCTATATTTTAAACTGCTTAATTACATTGCCTTTTCGAAAAGGCATTCCTAGACATTGATATGTTACTTTATCCTGAATACTTCCCACCTTATAGTCTGTTGATCTTCAAGAAGGTAAGTCAGATATTGAAAATGTGCTTGAATAGGGATCTGAAGGTCTGCAGTCTAATTAATAATCTGCTAGGAGTCATTTATTTAAAAATCTCTTTTTTTACTATTGTAAAGCAAGTTGGTACAAACTAAGTAAGCATTTTGGTGAAATGCTTAAAAGGGAAAACCAGTAACCATACTAAAAATATACATATAAACCATTCTTAGATACAGTGATTAATTTGTCCTCAATGGTATATCTGTTATTCTGAATAGACTCAGAGAATTAACTAACTGCCGAGATGGCATATTATGTAGGGGTATGTGTGTGTGTGTGTGTGTGTGTGTGTGTGTTTGTGTGTTTATCAAACATGTCCAGTAATGATAAAAACTGATCTTTAATTTCACATTGGTCTACATGTAATGGATAGTGATTACTATTGTAGTTTTGTTCCCATAGTGGCTACTTTATGTTCTTGGTATGTTATAAAGACAGCAAGATTACCTATGGGGGTCTTTGGTGCTGGGTATGATGTGAACACATTCCCTTTTATAAAATGCTCTTTCTATCCAGGATTTCTGAGCCTAAAAAGAAAAAGAAGAGTACAAGTGAGCACAATATTTAAGTATTTTTGACTAGGTAGCAAAATTTCAGAATCACATGATAGAATATATCTCATAAACTGAATTAAAATTGTTATACAAACACTGTATATAACAAAAGTAATCACTCCCAGAATATGATGATTAGTTTAACATTATAATGTTGAGAGTTAAAGGAAATGATCATAATGGAAAGAGTGATGGAACCATATACAAATATTTTTGAAGAATGGAAAAAACAATGCTATTTACAGAGAAAATGAAAAATATGGAGAAGTATGCTTTTAATCTTACAGATAACAAATGTTCAGTTGTGGGAAGATATACAGTTGACCCTTGAATCACAGATTTGAACAGTGTAGGTCCACTTACATGTGGATTTTTTTTCAATAAATACTGTGTGTATTTTTTTCCTTATGACATTTTTAATAACATTTTTTTAGCTTACTTTATTGTAAGAATACAGTACATAATACACATAACAAAGAAAACACACATAAATCAGTCATTTATCAGTAAAGCTTCCAGTCAATAGCAGGCTATTTTCAAGTAAGTTTTTGGGGAGTCAAAATTATACTCCAATTTTTGACTGTGCAGAAAGTTGGCTCCTCTAAACCTTGCTTTGTTCAAGGTCAACTATATATCTAAACAAGTATAAAGTTTTCATGGCTGATACTTAGATTTTCCTTGTAGGAGGAAAGAAAAATGATGAGGAAATTACAAGAGCCCTAATCTATCACCATATTTTTTTCTAAAATCTAAATTACCAGTGCTTAAATACAGAGGGGGAAAGAAAGTGAACACGTAAGGAAGATAAATGTCTTCATCACAGTCCACAATTTCACAGGTAATGCCTTTGGAAATAAGCATGATAGCACATTTTCTTTTTCTTTTCCTTTTTATTTGTTTCTTTTTATTTTTTATTGTATTTTTTCCATGATCATTTACCCCTGTTATCCTTTCTTCTACCTCCACCCACACCTTCCTCTACAATTACCACACTGTGATCTATGTCCATCCCACATGCCTTTAAGCACACCAAGTGCAGCTTCTTAGATGGGCTTTGTTAGGATTGTCTATCCAGAAATTTGGCCACTAAGCCTGGGATCCCGGAAAGATAACGGCAGTTCCGGAAAACTGTACCATCTTTGTTCCAAACCAGACTGTCCATCCTGCATCCTTTGACCCCTTTCTTTGCCAGGATTTAAAATAGTAGAGGACAACTATAATTGGACAATAATAAAAAAAGGATAATGCACATCAGAAAATTTTAAGAAAATAGTAGAGAAGTCTATTATGGAATCCAGTAAGCTACTCAAAAGATTCCTTCTTTAAGTGTTTAAGACAAAAGATGCTATAGCAAGTTACAGTGTTACTTCTATCTGGTATCATCGTCAACCTAACAAGCACCAGGACTAAATGCACACTCTTAAAATATGTAAGGCCAAAGTGCAACCAAGCTGTTTACTCGGCCTGTCTCAGTGACCAGTGTTAACTGTGACAAGTCCCCTGTTTGTTGGTCATGCTTGATACTGACTCTGCCCAGAACCCAAACGCCTGTCTGCATCGTACTACATTCTGGTTTGCCCTGCCCCCTTAATCGTGCATCTCCCTCATCTCTGAAAAGAGAGTTTCCACAAACATGTGGCTCTGAAGTCAGTGGTTGGCTAATACTCAGGGCGATGCACAATTTAGAAGTAGCAACGTGGGGGATGCCTGAGGGCTATAAAGGAGCTACATCCTGTGTCAGTCACGGTCACATAATTTCTGAGTGGTTATTTGTTTCTGCATTGTCCACAGGGAAGGTGCACCCACTTTGCCTGAGAGACCCTTGGGGCCCGGTGGCTCTCTGCACCCTTACACCACAAAAGTAGCATTTGCAGTTCTGTTTGTCAGCTGGGCATGAAAAAAAGCCCCAGTGTCTATTCTCAAAGATTTTTCTCTTCAAATATGTAGGAAAAGCTAGTGGTTACATCTTTGCAACAGAAACGAGTTTAGCAGTATAGATGATAACCAGTCTTTATCTCTCTAAAAAGCCTGTAAGTTAAACTATTCATAGGCTGTGATTTTTCCTAGACACTGAATACTTTCATTGATAACATCTCTTGGCAGGAAGATGGTAAAAATATTCCTCACTGGACATTTGAAACCAACTTCCCTACACCTTGGGGAGCAGAAAAGAGTACACTTTCCTTTTTTCTTTGTGGCCCACTTTGGCTAGGATTCAGTAGTATCTTTTGGGGGAGCACCTGGGGATTTCAGGGGGTACTGATCACTGCTCTCTGAGAGAATGCAGGGATGGCAATATCATGGGAAGAGCATGGGGTTCACAAGTAGAAGGAGTGGTGTGAGTAGGGCTCAGCAATGTGGATGAAGTCATGTAATTCCTTCATTCCTCAGTTTTCTTCATCTATAAAATGGGCAAAACAGTAATGCCAGACACACAGAGCTGTCATCTCTATTATTTGGGAACTGTGTTTTCACTTCAAGAAAAGGAACCCATACTGGGTTGGTTCTGGTACTAAAAGTTCAGATGAAGCTTCAGAAGAGACTACTATAAAACTGCTGTAGCAGAATGTCCTAGATTGATCTCACTTTACATTGGGGATGATACGTTCTCAAAAGACCTGGATGGCCACTAACAAGGTATGTAGAAAAGTCACTTAATTTCCCCTGAGCCTTTACTACAACATGAGGATAATCATAGCTATTTTGGTGAGTTGTATTAGTTAAAGAAGATGATTCAGAGAAAGCACCTGTCACTTCGTAGGAACTCAGAAGTTAGTAAAAAATGCCTAATCTTTATTAACAGTGCATTATGTGCCTGAAATTGTGTCCTATATGTATTGTCTCCTTGGAGCTTCGTGAGAACACTGTAAGGGAAGTACTACTATTATAACCATTTTCCCTATGAAGAAACTGAGTCAGATGCAGCAAATCAGTTTTAAAGCCACAGTTTGAAGTTGAGCAGTCTGACTCCAGAGTTCGCACTCTTACCTGCTCTGCTAAACTGCTTCCCCAAATTGGATATTATTAATATTAAATACTCTTGATCTTGGCAGTGCCATCTGGGCATGTCTGGAAGTGCCTTCGTATTGGAACGGAGTTGGGCTTGTAGAGGCATGTCTTAGAGCCAGTTCATACTTGCATCTTTCCCCTTCTCATTTCCCCTTTCCATTTCCCATTAGCAATGAACACTGCTACCTGTTCTTGAGGTGAAGGATTTGGGTGGGACATTAGGGAGCCATCAGATTATGGGAAAGAAGTATACAAAGGGGCGGGGGGAATCTTTGTAATAACTACAACAAAGAAATGTAGTCACAAGACTCACCGCTTGAGAATCTGGGGGGACCAGACTTTTCAAGGGCACCGTGGTTATTTTTCTCACTCATGGATCCCAATTTCAACTTGAAAAGCCCTGGAAATTTTACTCAGAAACTATGTAGTAAGAATTACTACATGTAGATTGCCAACTTGTTTGTTTATCTTTCATTATAAAGTAATTTGATTTGTGTGAAGTTTAGGAACTTAATTATCTTCTCAAAGGTGAAGAGGTACCTCACTGTTAGCAAAGGGATTGAGGATTAGTTTTTATTTCTTATTATTAACAGATTAATCATTTCCCTTGCAAAGGCACAGAAAATTGGGAGGAGGAAAAAAGGAAATGTAATGTAGAAAGAATCTTTCCATCACTCATAATTGAATTAGATGCTTTTTTTGGGGGGGGCGGGGAAGAAAGGAATAATACATAACAGAAAGAATGCATGTATAACACATGAATTAGAAATTATACAAAATATCATGCATAATTTACTATGCTCTATTGTGGGCTTTGCTTCATTGAGGTTTGCTTCATTGAGGTGGACAGCTATTAGACTTTTTAAATTATTTTATTGGAGAGAGCATATTTGAAGTATAATCATGGTTTAAGTTGTTCTCTAAACCAATTCCCTTTTCATCTGTTCAAAGTCTTTGAACTACTCTGCGTCAGGTTTTAACTTGGTTTCAACATCCAACTAAGTGAGTTCAGAATGGCGATCCTTGTTGTTAGAAAGCATGAAATAGCTTTAACATGCCATGTGTCCTAAAGTCTCTTTTTCAATATACTTTGGAAGTCTCATGAACTCTTACCTTAGAAAATCACTTATATATATTCTTTTCTAAAGGTAGAATGGTCACATCACCATGACTGAGTCTGTGAAAGGCTATTTTCTTTCTTGTCTTTCTGCATTGTCAGTCATGTGTGATGTGTAGAAGGAAAGTGTTTTTCAAAGGCTAATGATTAAAGGACATCTTATTCAAAACCACAATGAGGACATTCACATTTTAACAAATATATAATGATTACACTCAGAGAACAAAGTAAGTATAAATTTTGAAAGTCTAATGTACAGTCAATAAAGATCAAAATGATAGAAACAAACAAAAAAAGCTGTAAATATTGCCTTCAAAAGAAAAAAAATAAGTTGTTTCATTTAAGCAGGTTTTGCCTCTTTTTCACAAAGGCTCTGCTACAAATGTTAGTCCCCCAAACTACTTTGAACTACTTTTACTACCCACTCCACACTAGCTACAGAATCAAGAAGTTCTCCAGGCAGGAACGGTTTACAAGTGCATACATAGGGTGCGTATTAAATCAGAAATTTTTGGACAGTGCTATTGCATTCCACCTTTAGCAGGGCAACTTCAAAAGAAGGACAACACCCCAGACCAGTAATCATAAGATCAAAGAGAGCCCACTAACTTTATAGGAATAAATTACAAGCAAATATTCACTATGTTCCTCATTTTGAGATTCTCATGTTTTAAATGTACACTTTGTCCTAATGAGAACAAAACACCCAAGACCCAAAGGTACTGAATCCTCTATTCATTTTCACCTTCTGCTTTCCCTTAACATCTCCCTGGGCATCGTTTCGGTCTTCCTCTAGGTCCCCAGATGCAATATTGGGAAGTTGAAATCATTTTACCTGAGCACTGAC